ATAAAATCTGATTTTATTTAAAATAAAATATATCAAATATTGATTATTTTATGCTAAAATGTTTAGTATAAATAGGTGCAAAATGTTTGCACATTAATTGATAAGTTTTTGGCTAAATTTTTCCAAGAGAAAATTCATTTAAAGAGTTGAGTGATAATACAAGAAAGTGTTCTTGAAAAATTTCCTTATAAATATATATATTCTTGAAAAACCGAGTAGTTTCTACTAGCAAAGAAACTATAGTCGGAACCAAAGTTCAAATGGTGGATACGATTAGAGGGAAGACATTTGGATTCCTAAAGTGAGTAACCACAAGAAGTGATCATTACCAAACTGGGAATTGATTTCCTCATACATCGTCGGTTTTGAAGGAGTTCAAGAACAAAAGTAATTTTTATAAATTACATATCAAATCAAAATTAGTAAAAGTTACTAGATTTTAAATGATGCTTATTTGTTATCTCGTTATACTTATGTACGGAATAAGTATTTATAAGATAAATACTTATAAAATTTTAAATTCCGCTGTAAACTCTGTTCCGTACAGTATATCGAACCCAACAGCGCCTGTGCATGTGCCTATTGATGAAGCTCCGAAGTCCCTTGTCCTCCTAATATCGTTCAAATCGTCGTGATACGGCTGCTGCCTTGCTTGTACTCTTCATGTACGACCTATTGGATCTCTTAAATGGACTCAAATATGCGCCCGATAATCGCGTCATCAATACCATCAGCTACTCCGGGAACAATCATATTTATCGTTGGACTCGCCATTGTCGATACTGGAGGTCTCGAAGAAAATGCGCCACTATTTTTAAGCCTTTGTCCGGAGCCCGAGCCACGACCACCACGGGAGCTCGACATATTGTAATTTCAAGAATAATTTATAAAATAATAAAAATAAGAGAGTAGAATGGAATAAGGAAAATGAATGGGGTGGGGGGTATTTATAGATTTTTTTTTGTATTTTTTCATTTATTTTAGTTTTTTTCATTTTTTTTGCAAACCGAACACAAAACTAAAAACCAAACACTTAAATATGTGGAATTGAGGGAGAAGAAGAGAGATTGAGAGAGAGAGAGGGAAAATACCTTACCTACCAAGAAAAATCGCAATTTACCAAGAAATCCATGCAAACCCAAAATCAAAAAGGAAGAAAAAGAAGAAAAATAAATAAATTTCAATATTGGTTTCTTGATAAATCTTAGAGAAAAATTTCTCTTTTTTTTTCTTCTTTAATGAATAAATCAAATACAGATGCAAAAGTAATTACACTGTCGCCAAAAACCTTGTTGGCAACCAACAGATTCATGTGTGAGATCTGCAACAAGGGGTTCCAGCGGGACCAGAATCTGCAGCTCCACCGACGGGGCCACAACATGTCGTGGAAGCTCCGACAGAGGGGTGGACTCTTCCACCTGCTCGCGAGCTACTCCATCCTGAACTGTCTCATGAGGGCGCTCGGAGAAGGCTCTATTGGTCATGAATCAGTATAAGGTTCTCTAGGGTTCTTAGCCACGATGATCTAAGGATTTTAAGGGTTTAGGGATTGTGTGTTGATATTTACCGCACCCTCTTTTGATTTTACCGCCCTATAAAAAGACTATTCT